CCACCAGGTCATTCAGTGTTCCCTTAGTGCTAATGTGTCAGAGATGTTGGTGTACTATAACTGAAGTAATGTTGTTAAGTCCTTAAAGTCATATTCTTTTATTGTCATGACTGTATTTGAAGCTATTTTTATTTTTGTATGATATCTGATTTATATGGAATATGGCTGAAGTAAACTAAAGTATAAAATACTTAGTCAGTCATTTGTTTAATAGTAATTTAACATTATATAATTCACATACAAAACTATGAATTGTAATTTTAAATGGTTTAAATGCAGGTAGAATAGCATATGTAGGCAAGTATATTTCTCCTTTTTTTAAAATCAAGAAGCAAAAACAAAAAGGAAAAAAAAAAGAAACAGGGCAGGGTTCCGTGGTTGACTCATCTGTCCCCACCAATGCCAAAACCAAATCTACGCCCTTGGCTCAGAGAGAAAAAAAAATACCCAAAAACAGAAAGACCCAAGTGCTATATCTCAGATTCCACATGTCTCAGTTAGCATGTTAAATGTTAAAGTTCATGAAAGTACAATAACAAAAAATCTGAACCAGTCTGGCTTGTTTGGAAGGGTTGCCAGAAGAAAGCCTCCTCTCTAAAAAGAACATGGCAGCATGGCTTAGAGGTGCAAAACTGCATGTGAAGAAGTCACAAGACTTCTGGAATAATGTCCTTTGGATGGACAAGACAAAAGTGGAGATGTTTGGCTATAATGCAGCTCATAATTGGAAACAATTTATCTGAATTTCAGGAGTGGGCCAACACCTTATACACACCCCTTCCAGTTGTCTGTCTGTATATGACCACCTACCTCCTGAAAGACAAGCTGTTTGTTGTTTTTACTTGTTTTTATGGCACATCCTCCCTCCCTTTTTAAAACTCATTTACCTTTCATTAACACATGAAGCTATGTCTGGCCCAGAAGCTGAGATTGTCCCTAAACTGCAGCCTTAATTCTTGCTTAACCATTATCTACCTGAAACTCTAAATGACGATGTGGTCCCAGCTAGTGAAGGCACATCATAATGCACACATTTGGCAAAATAACATATCACCACAAACACCACACCATTTATGTAAACATTTAACATTTAAAATGTTGGTGTTCTTTCTGTATAAAGTGTTCATAACTCAAATGCCAGACATGTAAAGATTGTAGTGAATTTAAATGGACAGGATCCGATCCACGTGTTCTTTAAATGTAGTACTAATTGCCATTTTGTTTAAATGTGCTGGATTACATATTTTGCTGTTTGCAGAATAAGAGTTTTGATGTTTTCCGTTGTTATAAGATTTGCCGTTAGTTCATTTGGCATAAAATGAGTTCTCCAAATTACCAAAATGGCTGCCTATTTTGGTAACTTGGAGAACTCAATTTAAGCCCAATTAAGGACCTGAACAGTGGTGAAGTGGATTAGAATGGTTAGTTTGTGGCTATAGGTCTATAAGTGAACGACTGGAAGCTTTATTTTTAAAAGGTAATGTTGAGATCAATGCGTGCCCGTGCTGGGATTTTTTAAAAGATGGCTTTAGATGCCAACTGATAACAGAGACTGCTCTAGAGGAAAAACGTTCGTTGCGGTGTGTCTGGTGTCGTCATGACGCAGGCGAGTAGGTGGGGGTGACGTACAGAGCATCCCTCAACCCCCTCTAACGGATGCTGAGACTGAGCTCCTGTGCGCGCGAGCTCTGGTAGCAGCTCAATCTCCTCCTCATCCTGCAAAGATGTCGCATGAGCTTCTCCTCACACGTTTGTTTTCTTTCCTTTTTCTCCCACTGCCCTTCACAGTTCGCCGAATTTGGTTAAATTAGCTGCTTTCACAGCAGGGAGTAGCTATCCTCGTCCAGGCACACGGACGCCCCCTCCCCACAACGGAGGTGTTTAAACCCTCAACCGGCGCATTACCTCTCTCTCTCTCTCTCTCTCTCTCTCCAACCGCCGCAGAACTCCGCCGACCAACCGTCAGGTGACCGCGCGGAGCGGAATATTTACCCGCACGGCCGTCGACTTTCATCCCTTCACTCCTTCGGACTCCAGGCAACGGGAGCTGCCGCATTCCCTGTCCCCCCGTGTCTTCTCATCCGGTTTGGGACATTCTCCACTCCACGCACACGCAGATTAACCGGGATTCTGCCTCCCCACCCGCGCGCTGATGCTGATGTCCTTGAGCTCGGCCTGGACGGTGAGTCGATGAGTCCGTGCGTGCTCGCGTGCGTGACTGTTATTTACCCCGGGCACCCGAGCGCCTTTTTAATGGGGAAGATGTGCTGCTTTCGCTGTGATTCATTACTCGCATGTCGGGAGGTTTTTACGGGCTTACAGAATATGCAACATGGCCTGATGTGGCATTTGTCATCGCAGGCCTTACACAGCTATAATAAAGCCTATACAGTAGAGCATACCATAATAACCTGGCGAGCAGCGCTATGACATTATAAGGAAGTGTGTGCCTGCGTGTACGCGCGTCTACGCGCCGATGTGCGTGCGCACGCGTGTGTAAATCTACATATATATTCATCCTTCCATCCATCCACTCATCCGTGTCCCGTGTCAGTTGATGAAGGGCTACAGTCCCACATTATCACCGAGCAGCACGCGCTGTTCTCGCGCCTGTCTCTTGCCTTTCCCGGGCGCTGTATGCAGCAGGCATGTAAGGGCTATTTGGGATCAGTTGCGTTGTTTGTCTCGGTTACGGCGCATCGCACCTGCAGCGCCAACTGCGGGGGGTTTCATTTTGATCCGGTAATGATCCGTGGCCCAAGGGACCTTCACATGTCGCCCGGCGTCGCGTGGGTGTGAGTTAGGCAGAGTGGGCCGGCGGTGGCCGGGCCAGTAACCTTGCGGAGGGACATCGGGTAAGCTAGTGGCGCACCACTGGCTTCACTCTGTCTCTCCTTGCCTTTTAGCGGGCCTGCCGTGTAAGTGTCTCGACTTTATTCATAACCTCCTCTTGTTGCTGTATGTGTTGAAGATAAGCCGAGAGATGAAGCTTGAGTAAGTGTGAAGGTGACCAGGAAAGGTCGTTTTGAATGGGAAATACACTGTTGCATGAGGCAGCTCCAGGTGCACCAAGAATTAGTAATGTGTGTGAATGTGACTTTAGCTTTGGGTGGGTGGAGATGTATATGCGCTCATGTGGGAAGGACATGGGATACCAGTATATCAGTGCTGGATGTGATGGAAACAGATGGATACACGATAGTACCCATTAACTAGTTATCACCAGGCCATTTTCTTTCATTCTTTCTTTCCCCAAATTTATGCCCACATTTTGTTGTCTTTCTCAAACGTTCTCCATCCCCACCCCCCTCATCATTATCCTGTTTCTTTAATGGGCTCTACCGTAATGTGGATTCTAAGCCCTGTTGGCGGCCCACCTTTAATGGCTTCAGCCTCTGACTGTGTTAAATTCTAAGTGTGCTATTCCCACTGGGGAATAACAGAAGTGTGACTGGCACCAAGCCAGGCAGGCAGCTGCCCAGATACAAAGGCCCCACCAGAGGGCCTGTCGGAAAGTAGGACTGCAGGTGCACAGGTGGACTGCAGCGAGCTATAGGGAATACTGACACGCTCACATACACGGAATGTGGACAATCTCACCCCAGATGACAACAGTGTGCACAAGATTTAGAAACGTGAACACACTGCTGCACACAAACTTATTCAGTTACACATGCTCAAGTCTGTGGAGCCTGGTTTGCCTCTATCCACCACACACATACTCACACACACACACAAAGTCAGAAAGCATACATGGACCTCCTGGCCCGAATTCAAATCCCATGAGGATCTTCTCTCCTGTGTCTTCTGCACACTTCTCAACCTCCTTGCTGCTGCAATGAAGAGAAAACATCAGAGGGAACAGAGCGGACACTTTCTCTTTTTAAAAAAAATCAAATTGCTTCAACCCTCTATGGGATAGTGTGTGGACAAGCAGGTCCAGCATTCAGTATAAATGGGCAGGCTGCTGACAATTGTGGTGACCTTTTGTTTGACTCTTTTCATGTTCAGACACATTTTCAGTGAGGACAGGACACCCCTACCCCCTTCGCTGACTCTCTTATTTTGAAAGCGTTGTTGTGTATGACACATTTGTGTGCGTCATGACAGATCATATAATTGATGTCTCTGGGCATGAGGGTTTGTGTCTTTGTGTGCTTACTGTCCATTTGTGATGCTTGCATCCTGTGCCTAAAGGTTTGTGTGCATAAGAGTTAGAAATGCATGACAAAACAAAGTGCTTCTCTTTTTTTGCTATGTATGTAATGCAGCCTTACATGCACTTATGTGTTGCACACATCAAAGCTGAGTCAAGCAGAAGGCCACATTCAGAGTTGGGTGCAGTAGTTTGGACGATGAACAGAAGTGTTTGTTGCGTGACCGTTACAAAATCAGACGGAATCAGTGAGTAAGACATCAGGCTGGATAAGAAAATGTGCGACTGGCTGAGTAAATAAATGATTGCAGTAGCAGGAAGCAGGTAGACGGGGAGAGCAGCAAGAACAGGGTGTTGGGATTGGGGCGGAGGTAAAAATAGGTAAAAATAATAACAAGCAATGAGACACCACAAGACACAGAATGGAAGAACACAAAAAGGTGGTAAAACCATATAGATGGAGCAGAAAGATAGATATAAAGCAAGAAGAAGCTTCAAAGGCAAAGGAGGGTGACTCAGTCATAAACTAACACTCTCAGTCAGGATAGAAGCATGACAGGGAAGAGAAGAAAAAGGGGAGGGAGAAGATGCAAGAGGCAGAGACTGAAGAGTGGAGAGGAGGGAGGAGAAAAGGAATTAATAATCAGTTTCACTTTGGGGGTTTTTCTGCTCGTCCACATGTAAAATACTCTTATAGGGAAAAAGAATCTGATGTGTCATGTGTGATGCTGAGAATAGTTAAAGGCGGTGCTATTTGCTCATGCAGGATGAAGCTTCGTTAGTGTTGGTGCAGTGGAAAGAGAAAGGAATGTGCTGCCGTCCTAGGCGATGCTGAGCGTTGTTGGTGTCAGATTTATTTTAATGAAATTTGTCCCAGAGATAGGTTAACATGTTTTTGTCAGTGATTAGGAAATTGTTTTTCAATAGATTAAGATGAGGAGCTCACTTCAGGAAATTCCAGATGTAGTGTATTCAACTGGTCTAAATTAATACTATCGGAGTATGACAGGCTAGCTTACTGTTTAGAAGTCCCACAAAAATATAAAAATATCCAAAGCAGGAAAAAGAATATATCTAGTTTCCCCACCAGTGGCGTTTTCAGTTTTTTTTTTTCAATTTTTTTTCCCTTTTTTAATGTAATAGCCCCAGCGAACCGGGGGGATAGGATTAGAAAATTCCATCTGAAGTAAAACCAAACCAGCTAAAATTACTTGCAAATTCAGTGTGTTCCCACGACATTAATAATCACAGACCTCCCAACTACATCAAGGGGCTCTACAGTAGGACATGTGGCTGCCCTATAACCATATGGTGACCCCCATGTATGATGCAGGACAAGATTCCCGGGGATAGTAGGGCTAAAACAGTGCAGCGCTGTAAATACAAAACTATTTTATTGAGTGGTAGAATTAAAGAATAACGTCTCACGCATACTTTGTGTGAAGTCCTCCTTTGTAAAGTAAAGAAGTTAGAGAATGGATGGCTGTAGAAAAAAAACACTATACTATATTGCTATTTAGGCACAGTGTTACATTGGGTGACATGCTCTCCCACGTTTGCACACATTCGCATTTTGACCCACAGTTGTAAATAGTTCTCTGTAAAACATCAGTTTAGTCCTCTTTAAGCAATAACAAACTGCAGTGCTCTGTTTTTAAATGGGTCTATTCTGCTTTACCCATATTTCTGTTCCCTATATACTGTTCCAAAGGTGCATGATACTGTAAAACATAGCCAGTCTTTCAATTAATGTGGTTATCGTATGTAAGTAATCGGTCTGAGTGAAAAGCTCAGGATTCAGACTGCTTCACTCACGTACTTTGACACAGTCTTTTGTTTTCTGTTTGACTCTGTGTGATGTCAGTGAGAGTAGGTCTGGTGGTATGCATATAAGCCTTATTCACATGACTTTATAAAACTTTGTGAGGGGCAGCCAATCAGAAGAAAGTTATCTGAAAGGGAGCGGTAGGGGACTGAAAACAGATTATTTTAGATGAGCATCAGCTGAGGAGCTTCATAAATGATTAGTGTAAGATTACTCTGAACTGTGAAGCATGAAAGGGTACACACGCAGTAAACAGTAGAGATTAAGCATATTAAGTTTGAAATGAGCAGACCCTCTCAGACCCACTTTAAGGAAAGGGAGGAAAGAGCTCTGAATTTGGGACCAATATTTTACATCTTTGATAAAAAGCTCTCTGTCCCACAGCTTGTGGCTCAGTAACATGGACAGGACAGAGAAGTACTGAGCAACAAAGCACCAGAGTAGGGCTGGGAGATATGGAAAACAATCTAACTATTTTCATATTGATATGTCATGATATAAAATACAAGGATGACTTTTTCTCTTCCTTTTTAATTTTAAGTGAGATGTGAAAATATAAGGTCAATTATGGTTTAAATATTATTTCTGTCAGAAGCTGAACATTATAAATGTACTGCAACAACTGTATTTTAAATTAATAACAAGGGTATAAATAGCAAACTAAAGCAAAACCTTTAAGTGTTACAGTGGTCCCTCGTTTATCACGGGAGTTAGGTTCTAAAAATAACTCGCAATAGGTGAAATCCGCGAAGTAGCCAACTTTATTTTTTACAATTATAGGCTGTAAAACTCCTCATTACACACATTATACACTTTTCTCAGACAGGCATGAGCATTTTCACGCTTTTCTCACTTGTTTAAACACTCAAAGTTCAAACCTTCGTAGAAAAATAACTCCAGTATTATAGAATGAAACCAAGGCACCCGCGGTTGCCTTTGACGGTGCAAAACACGACATTGTTGTGTTTGTTGGGGAGAAAACTTACAGACATACAGTACAGCACTTCAGAGTCACACTGCTAGCGATCGAAGATTAATGTAAATTTGACAAGGTGAACGCATTCTGTACTGTAGAGGAGACACGGCACGAGATTGATTGACAACGGTCTACCGTAGGGGTGGGCGATATAAACGATATACGATAGAAAATAATATAAATTTGGCCAACGATAGAGATTTTGACTATATCGCTCTATCGCGA